TACAGGAAATATGAAAATTGTAAATGAACGAATGAAACGTATAGAAAGAATCGTAAAATATGTAATTACTAAAGACGATAACAGCATATACTCCACATATGTTTTAGGTACGTTTAACATGTTTGTCAATAATTTTAGAACTATATACTTAATTTTAAGCGAAATAGAAACGGCATTAGCATTTACTAAACTTCACGTTCTACATCAAGCCATTGTTAATTCCACTGAATTATTAGTTATATTAGAATCTATATCTCACAAATAGTTTATTGTATCCTATTACTGAAAAAAATTTAGTTAATTTAGAAAGATCTATCTATATATATTTCGCTTAAAATTAAGTATATAGTTCTAGAATTATTGACAAACATGTTAAACGTACCTAAAACATATGTGGAGTATATGCTGTTATCGTCTTTAGTAATTATATATTTTACAATTCTTTCTATACATTTCATTCGTTCATTTACAATTTTCATATTTTCCTGTAGAGATCCAGTACTATTTATAAGAGAGTCAAGCATCTCCGAGATTATTGTTATTTTCTTGTTAGTGTGCGTTTGCTGGGTCTTTAATTGAGATATGAGATTGTCATAATTTACTGCATCATTGTGGTCTAAGTTTCCTGTAAGCGCTTTGATAACAGAACCTAATGGCTTAATAAGACCGCGCTTGAAACGTATCGAAGGTAAGAGTTGTTTAAACTTTTCTACAGCTAAGTTACTTAAATAATTTACTTGTGTGTTCATATTTTGGAATTCATTTACGTATGGCTTATGGATATATACTAAGCTGCTAAATTCCTTATATTTATTTATATTAAAATTTAAATCATCTTTTATGCTACTAAAGACTCAACTGCTTAACTATAACCCACTTATCTACTTCCTTGTATGCTTCCCCTTGCTTTACGGGTAACATGCCTGGATTATGCTCAACCTTTAGAAGTTGAAGGCCTTGGGTCCGGATCATCAGATTCAGGTTCACGAAGATCGCCAACAACCTGTGGAGGGCGTTTCACATTTTGAGGTGCACTTTAGTTTTCCTTTTCCCTATCGTTACAGGTATTATGTTTCTTTCAATATCCCCTTGCACTTTCGCTTTTTGATACCTAGGCTTATCCTTACTTTTCCTAATGTTAATATCTTTAATAAAAACTGAATCACCATTCTTTCTTTAAAATTTATTCCAGATTCCCCGCTTTTCTTTTTCCTAACCTTTTCTTTATCCATATGGACTTTTTCGGAAATATACCTATATAAGTATTTGGTTCGCCTCGCGTGGTCTTTAATGAGTTGCTGTGTATATGCCTTTTCAAAATCTACGTCGAATATTTTACCGGAATCGGTACGACCAAATGCTACTTCAAAGGGTGTTAATCCTGTCGTTGAATGAATAGTATGATTATATGCCATGACTGAATATGTCATGACAGATGCAGCGTCTGTGCATTTATGCTCATATTTTGCAAGTCTGTATATTTCAATTATAGTAGAATGAAATTTTTCGAAAATGCCTGTCGAATTCGGGTTATTTGGAGTTGTGATATGAGTTTCTATTTTATACGTAGATGGGAGCTGACACATAAGTTCGTTATTAAATTCAATGCCTGGACCAAATGATATTTTCTTAGGAATTCCGTACATAGAAAAATATTTAATTAATGCTCGCGCTACTGCAGCGGTTTGTCGACTTGCAATCTCTAAGGCCTATCAATGCTAACAAACGAATCAAAGTTCCTCTCTTCCGTTTTTTTCACACCGCAAATTCATGGTGTTTGAGAATGACAGCGTTTTGTTCTTTTTCATCCTCCACATATACTACGCGTTCTGTACATTCAAAGAATTGTACTGCATCCTTCTTAAAGAGTTCTATAATAACTTTCGTAAATAATTTCCTATGCTCAGCGTTCTCGAAATAAATAAAGTATCGACTCTTAAATTTTATATTTTTCCATTCATATCCATTAAAAATTGTTTTATTAATTCTTCGTTTTCTAGTGGGAGAAATATTCTCTAGTACTTTTTGTTTTGCTCTAGATAAATTTCTGATTTGTAGTTTATTTTGGAACCAACAAAATACTATGATCTGATTTGGTTTGGTATCTATTGCCTCGCTCAAAATTGGGATTGCTGTTGACTCAGGTTCAATATTTGAGGCCATCGTGTCTGTTCTACTACTGTTAGTTACAGATGGTACAGGGTAATTTTCTTCGAAGAATTCTACATGTTCCGTCACACACGAGTCTGAGTCTGAAATTACCACTGTCTCTGGTTGAGTGTCCGGTCTGTATTTTTCAAGTTCTTTCAGTTGGCGTATTACTTTTTGTATGCCATCGTCATCCACATTAACATCCATTGATGCGTCGTCTAAAGCATTAAGTATTTTGTTTGCCGTTTTTATAGATTATTGTAAAATCGTATTCTTGAAGACGCAAACGCCAGCGTGTTAGTTTGCTATTAGGCTCTTTAAGAGAATAGAGCCAAGCAAGGGGTCTATGGTCTGTATAAATTTGAAATTTCTGTCCGTACAAGTAGTTCAACGTAACTTGGATAACTTATATCCTATACCTTTAAACGAGCAATTCTAAAAAAAAAAATATATATATATATATATAATCGGAATCTCGGAATTGGCTCCAACGATTTTCATAAAATTTAGTGTCCAGGGGGTTTTGACGGCAAAAAATCGATCTAGTTAGGATTCATTTTTAGAAAATGTCATTTTGTCCGTGTTTTCAGGCAATGAAAAACTGCTACAATATAAGAAGGTAAATTTTAACACTATGTTAATGATCATAATAGCTCAAGTGGATGTCGGGCGGTCGCAAAATCGTAGTGCCCTGGTTCGCGTCCCGTCTTCGGTCTGACTTTTTTCCTTTTTTTTTCAAGTTCCCTTCTTTTGTGAGAAAATCTATTATTTCGAGCCCTTTTTTTAGTGTTTTTTTAAAATACACGAAAATTTTAATTAAACTAATTGCTCTCATGGTTTTTTATTCAAATAACCAGTTCAGTTTTTTCTATTATGTCGGTAAGATCAAAAACTATTATTCATATTTCATCAGTATATATCTAAATATAATTTCCAAAACACACGATTTAAAAAAAACCCGAGTAAAGCTCGGTCAACCAGGTACTTCATATTATGCCCGTAACAATTACACTACAGTTACAGTACAATTACATTATAGTAAATATAAGCAAATGTCAGTGTATTAGTTTTATTCGAAAGAAAAATAAAATTGGTTTTCCGTATCACTTTAATGGTAAAGACATAAAACGGGCTGAGAGAGTACAGGATTTAGTTTTTCTTGATTCTAAAATGATGTTCTCCGAGCATGTCAACCACATCGTAAATAGATCATACCGCAACTTGGGGTTCATTATGAGGACTTGTAAACCTTTTAAAAACGTAAGCAGTCTTAGATCTATTTACTATGCAAATTGTCGCAGTATTCTTGAATATGGTAGCTCCATATGGTCACCGCAATATGCTTCATATATAAACAGTATAAAAAGAATATAAAAACTATTTATAAAGCACCACAACTCCAAAACCAGCTTGTGTCGTCGTGGAACTTATAATGAGGATTGCCTTAAATACGGTCTCTTATCGCTGGAATCTAGACGAGAATTACTTGATATGTGCTTTTTGCATGATATCCTTCACAATAACATTAACAGTGGGACTGTTAATGTTATTGTGAAGGATATCTTCTTTGTTAATATAGTTATAATATAATTATAAGGTACATACGTAAAATAACATATTACATCTTATATATAATAGTTATAATAAATAAATAAATATATATATAAATAAATAGGTATATATGTATGTATATAACCATTTATTTTATTTTATTCAGTAAGTATTATATAAAAAGCTACTAATCTAAAACCTATACTGCAATGCAATAAAATATTATTTAAATTATACTAAGTTACAAAACCACTCTGCTTCGTAAGTGTTATTCAGCATGTTGTGAAACTCTGTTAATGGCTAAGTGTACTATTTTTTTAAGTATGTTTGTAAAAAAAATGCTGTTGAGTTTCCTAATAAATAAAATAAAAAATTAAATAAAAATAACTTCAATCGCATGGATTGAAAAATGCCCGTGAATATTGAGTTAAATTCTGGTTTGAACACCTTTAACTTTCCTGCCATGTTCGCACCATTATTGTATCCTTGACCTCGACAATCATTCATGTCTAAGTCAAACACTTGTAAGTCGGCCAGTAAGTCCTTTTTCCGAAGAGTCACTGACTTGTGAACAACAAAGTACTCTTGCTTTGACTTCCTAATAAGCGCCAACAAAACGGATTGTTAGTGATAAGAGTGAGTGTATTGGTGACCGGTGCCTGGTGGTAGCTTTTCGGTCGACACCCCCCCCCACCCCCCACCCGATGACGTGGCATTTGCGGTCCCACTATCCGCACCGCTCTAGGGTCGCCAGAACTATTACATGTGCTAGGCTGTATAATACCACGCGCAAGACCCATCCTCAAAGCGTGCCGATTTTACCAGCAGCACTGCATCGTAGCTCTTGCTGTGAATCACTGATTTGCTTCCAACGTAACATAAAAGGTTCAAACATAAAAGGTCTTTGAACATGCAATTACCCACTGATCCTTCATTCATATACCTATTTAAATTGAATCAGCCTCTACTGGCGCCTGAGCTATCGTAAGAGAATACATTATATATTATGCCTACACACCCTAACGTCCGCATAATCAAATAGTCCCACCGCGTGATCGCCTCATGGGCCACACCTCGCATACCATTTCTGGTTTCCTCGCGCCGCATATTCTCATAGTATTCCGTATGTTCCAGAGCTCAGAGTCCCGAATGTTCCACTTTTTGTACCCCATTCGAGACGTATCCTCCGATTTTAACGGTATAGAATAACTCAAAACCCATGAGGACATCGCCTATGAATTTTGGGAAAATGAAAGATTTGATTAATGTTTTAAAGTATTTATTGTTGATTACAAAATTTACTCAGACCGCAAAATCCGTTTATCGACATCATGAGTCCGCATATGTTCCCTTAGGGTATAACTTCTGGCGTACGATTTGCAGCAGACATCACAAGTGAACGGTTTCTCGCCGGAGTGTTTTAACATGTGCTTTTTAAGCCCATGATTAGTGATGAAAGCCATTCCGCATTCCGCACACTTTTTGTTTTTGTGTCCGTGCGTCTGTCGTATATGCGTAGCTAGATAATGCTTAATGTTGTATTCTCTGCTGCAAATAGGGCATTTGAATTTATGCGTTATATTGTGCACTTCGGACATATGTTTTATTCTGTCGTTATAATGTTTCATCGGCTTCATACAGATCTGACATTTGATTGTGCGTTTCGAATGAACACTCTCGACGTGATTCGCTTTCGACGTTTTAGTTTTGAGCACCTTCCCGCATTCGTTGCATGGGTAACTGCCGCTCTCGTGTGTGCGTTTATGAACTTTAAGACGTTTAGAATTAAGGAATGATTTCCCGCAAACGTCGCAGATGCAGTTGGCGTAGTGCTCGTTCAAATGTGTTGTCAATGTTCGGAACACGTGAAACTCTTGTTTGCATATGTGACAAGAATAAGGGCTGGAATCGACCTTGTAGTCCGCTATACATTCGTTGTAAATAACTTTATTGTGTACGTCAACAAAATGGCAGCGCATGGCGTTGACATCTGCCAATGTCAAATTGCAATGGCGACATTGTAAATTGGATATTTCAATTTGTAACGATCGAGGGTAGCGTTTCATCTTTTTCAGTTCTTCGTCCACATCTGCGTGGACGCTTAAAGTGTGATCTCTAAGAGGGTTAATTTCCATAAAGTCCTGTAAGCAGAAGAAACATTGGAACCAACTCTTATGGTGTCTAAACGGACAGGCAGTTGTGTCCCGTAACACAGTCCCGCAGGTCAGTATCACGCGCTTTCTTTCAGAAACCAGTTTCACGGGTTTTTTATTCGGCGCCTGTTTTAATCCTAAAAGTAAGAACATCTGTTAATGTATCAAAAAAGATGTTGGTAATAAATTAGAGAAAAGTTTGAGAAATTTATTGTTTAATACGAAAAATATTACTGTAATTTAATTAAATTTTATTACGCTATTAGCGTAAAATAGCAGCCATTATATAGCATCAATAAATGCCGCTGTATATGTCTGAGTGACGAGAACCGGAGACTATGTTTACTAGTAACGAGAAACTTCGCATAGGCATTTTGAATCTTATATCCTAACACTTAAACACTACCCAATTTGAAGACACTGTAAAGTCTTGAGTCTTTTTAAAATTGAGTAATGTCACTAGTCGAGACATTAGTCGAGAATACATGTAGGTGTCTGTCTACGGGTCACAATATGCACTTACCATCATGTAGTTGTTTGGTACTCTTACTACTACAATTATCATCATCATCATTACAGCCCTACACAAGTCCACTGCTGAACATAGGCCTCCCCCAAGGAATGCCACAAAGCACGGTCCTGATCCACCTCCATCCATCTACTTCCTGCATGTGTTACCAGGTCGTCACTCCATCTAGTGGGGGGTCGCCCTACACTACGCCTACCGATACGAGGCTGCCACTCGAGAACCTTTTGTTCCCTATCATTTGTTTATTGAGCTATATGGCCGGCCCATTACCACTTCAGCTTACTAATCCGTTGGGCTATGTCGGTCACTCTAGTTCTACTGCGGATATCTTCATTTCTAAGTTTATCACGCAGAGAAACCCCGAGCATAGCCCTCTCCATAGCTCGCTGAGCGACCTTGAGCGTCCTTATACGGCCAGCAGTGAAGGACCACGTCTCAGATCCGTATGTCATCACTGGAACACGCACCGGTTGTACAATCTAATTTTCAGATTTTGTGGTATAACTGACAAGATGATGTGTCGTAATTTCCCGAACGCTGCCCAGCCGAGTTGAATCCGTCGAAATACGTTGTTCTATTACGAGTTTTAAAGTCTCATAAATGATTCTATTGAATAAACTTAAAACTAGAATAATTCTGTAGTGGGTTCCAAAATTAATAAAGTTCTTAATTATGAGCGAACAACATCAGAAACATTAGGGTCGACTAGCTTCTTTCCAAGTTTGTTCACAGTCTTTTTCAGAAAGTAACAAATGGGATGGCAAGCAATACTTGGTAGATTTAGCAGTGATTGCTGATAAATTCGGAATTCATGTATGTGTATGTGGTACAGGTACAGTATACGTCTTAAAGTGATGCTGCTGCTATATAATGGATGCAGCACGAATTGATAAGCTCGATCGGGATAGCACCAAGCTCTTACAGAATACCAGCGTAAATAGCATCATATTGTTGCTGTGTTTCGTGGTGAGTGTAGAGAACCGGAGACCCTTTTTACCAATAACGAGGGAATCCATACTACTTCTCTATTAGGCTTCACGACATCTGTATTTTGATTTCTAACCGACAATAGATGTAGCTGTATTTGGGCTACAGCCACCAGGTCGACTGTGTGCTCGTTTGTCAACTTCTATTTCATGAATAATAGCAGACAGTTTGTAAATTGGTATATATACTCCATAAGCAACCTCTAAGTTATGAGAAGTCGCTTTTCACCTAGGTGATGGGAGGTGTATTCAAGAAATATAGACTGCCGTTGCTTAGTTATATTTAATGCTTCGTAGTCTATAATATTTAAAGTATCTCCACTAGAGTTGTAATACACATTATTATAAATCATCATTATCTCTAGAACGTTGCAACATATTCCCATACTCCTTCGAAATACGTTCAAAAGCTTCGTAGCCTGTAATCAAAATTACTTAACCCCAAACAAATTGTGACATATCTAGACGAACTCTTGGTCACCAAGGAAGTGCTACCGACTAGTCAAAAAAACGTACGCAAAAAAACTTACTTTCTCTTGCATCTCGATCAGGTCTCGCTATATTTTCCATTAAACTACTTTTCGGCTGTGTTCTAGTTATTTCACTTACAATTTTTTTCATGTGTTTAGTTTTTTCTGCCAATTTCGAAATAGGAATATCCGAATCATAATCAATATCTTCCGTTAGAATGTCTTTTGTGTCTTTCTTTAGTTTTAATTTCGCTAAACTTCTTTTTCTGACGTGTTTTCGAATGCCGTTTGGGCTTAATAATGGCAGCTCTTCATTCCCAAAATTTGATTCTTTTAAGTCTTCTAATGCTTCCAACTTTACTTTTCCTGTGGGAAAAATATAATAAATACAATTGGCACTTGTATATTAATAATTCACTTTTATTATTTATTTTTTAATTAAGTAATGGTGCAACAAGGCCAGATAAATATTGTAAATAACTTCCATGGGTGGATAGTGATTTTCTTTTGAAATTTTTATAGAAAAACATTGTCAAAAGTTTTATAAATACAAAGCTATTTATTTGGTGCTTAATTGATGACATCTTCTTTTCATAAATAATTAGTCACAAAAAGTTCAACGACCCACCATTATTTGTAACTAATATAAAAAGGTAATTCAACCTACTGACAGCGGCTTCCGACGGCAATGCGCAGAAAAAGAGATCTACCCATTGCTTTTTTTATAACGCCACTTAAGTCAGTAAGTTAACATTCTTTATTGAGCATCGCAAAGCAAAACAACTCGACATCGACTCGACTCAAAATGAGACAGTAAAATAAGCTTTGACTGACTGAACTAGCTGATTTTAAGTGTATCCATACGATAATAAAACCAGACTGTGGTACTACAAATATGTGGGCTCCTATAATGGTATATATAATCCATACGTTATACGTATTTAAGGGGAATCGTTCAAAATATAAATATTGTAAAATAATTATATGAAACAAATACTCCCATAGAAACGGAGTAAATGACACAACCAAATGAAAAAGTAAGATAAAGTAGAAATGGACAGGCCTTATAGTTCGTGGTACCAATGTAAAAAAAAGGTTGTTTATTGGCAGACTTATTATAGGTAAGTGTAGCGGAAGATGGCCTTCAAATATAGAGGCTTTCGAAATGCAAGGAGGAGAATAGAGCGAAACAAGCGAGTAAAGTCTGTGCGTTATTACGGTTTAGGGGGGTCTATTTTAGATACTGGAACCTACATAAGGCCTTGAACCTCTGTAAGCCAATATTTTTTTATTTTATTTTATTTCAAACAAAATCCACAGCTCTTTGTTACATCGTACGTACATCTTATGATCTTAAATTATAGCCAAAAACGGATTTACATTATTTAAATAGTATTTTCAATTTATAACGGACATGTTGAAGACAAAGTAGTTGGGACTAAAAATACATATTTTTAAATATCTAGAATGCAATCATACATAATGCTCGTATGCGCCTCCCACGCACGCGGGCATATGTGTGTGTGTGTGTGTGTGTGTGTGTGTGGTGTGTATGTGGTGGTGTGGGTGGGGGGGGGGGGGCGGCGGGGGGGGGCGGCGCGCGCGGCGCGCTGAGTTAATGAGTTACCCCACTACATCAGAAGTTTCAAGACATCCTTCTTAAACTTATCCTTACTGGAATGGAAAATATGAACGAAAAATTAGAAGGGACAAAATACTCAGTTACCCTCATTACATGGTGGCTGATCAATGTGGTGCAGCTTTTCAGTATCGTTTTCTGTCACTCCCTCCTCTATTTTGAAGTCATTAAATTCTGTAAAAATAGGAATAAAGTCTTTCACAGAAACTTAAAAGATTTCTTTATAAGTGTTTTTTTTACAAAATTAAAGGCAACCAACAAATGCACAGTCCACCTGATGGTGATACTGTGACATTGATCCTCGATTAAGAATGCAGATGCCTTGTCACCCCTGAGCACTAACATGTAATGCCTCGTTTCCAGTAAAAGGGTCACTTTTAATCTTATCTAATTCAGAACTGTGTGTAAAAACGAGCTCATAGCTTTAGGATTCGAATCTCACCTCACCTGCGTCAAAGCACCTACTGAAGTTTAAACAGGGATAATTACAATGAATCTAAGCAGAAAAACTAAAAACTTCTGTTGTTGCTCAAATGTTATTTTCAGGTGGAATTTGAAATCAAAAACTAGGTCACATAAGAGTCTAGAATAAAAAATGGTGTGTATCAGATTTGATGCGCAACTGGAGTTTATACCTTGAGAATTTGTGGGACCATTTTGAGTTAATTATGCATGAATAATTTAGTGTATTTTGTTATTTTATTCTTAACGTGATAACAAATGACATTTTTTTTAAATATGGTGATGTTACTGATTTATGTGGAAGGAAAGAAATTTCATAAAAGTCAACTAGTTGAAACTAACACATAACAATATCAACTAAAGTATGATCAAGATAAGTGAAAAAGTTAATTGATTTACCTTTACTACGAAACTGTCAACCAAAGGTAAGTGGCCCAAATTGTGTGAAAACTAATGAATTTAAATTTGAAGTAAGTACACTGTCTATACATATAAATATAAAACTTGACTACTAAATAATAATATTAGTATAGGCTTCAATTCTTGAATCACAGAATTACGAGTTCAAAAAATTAGTGTGGTTTAAGTTTAAACACCAAACTGAACTAAATTAGAATGATCATAAATAGTTATTAGCTGTTGGTGGTTGAAGAGTTCGGAGTTCCATCCATCATCATCTTATAAGATATTCATCAGATCTTCACCATATTTTATATGTTACCAGCGATCCGCCCCGGCTTCGCATGGGTGATTTCTGGATCTCGACCACAGACAGACAAAAATTTTCATAAAAATCTATCGAACTATTTGTGATTTTTAGCGAAACCCAACTGACTGCAATTGGTTTTTATACATAGAGATTACTCTGAACACATCCAACTAAATAAAAAAATATTGTTCAAATCAGTTAATTCAATAACAAGTTATGCATGAATAACAAAGAAACATAATATATTCATACAAACAGTATAATTCTTTTCGACTGCCTCGTTGGTCTAGTGGTTGTAGTAGTGCGACTGCTGATGAGGTCCTGGCTTCGAATTCCGGGTCGTGCCAAAAAAAATCAATTAGTGAGTGTTTCTGTCAAGAAATTCTCAGTAGCTGCTTGGCATCAGGAAGTTGGCGGTGTTTCACCCCCGTGCCTCGGAAAGCACGTAAAGTCGTTGGTCCTGCACCTGATCTCTCTCCAGTCATGTCGGCTTACTATCCCATCGGATTATGAGGGTGAGGGAATAGAGAGTACATCTGTGCTTGCGCATACACTTGGGCACTATAATCCTGTGCTGCGCCGATGGCTAGCCTCCGTTGAGGCAGGCCCCCGTGACCGAAATTTGGTCTGGAGGATTATTATTATTATTATAATTCTTCAATCACTTCACTTTTAGTTAACACTTAATTTCACTCACCATCTAATTTGTTTATATTATTTGCTGTGTAATATTAAAATAGATTCTTAAAAAGTAAACTCCTATAAATAATTCCATATAAATAAAAGAAAACTAAATACCTCTCTGACTATCGCAATATAGGTTGAAGTGCCTCTCAGACTGCAACACTTGATTTTTGAAGGCATATGCTAGCCTCAACTGGGACACGCACAATGTGCACACCAGCCGGCTGTGGCTCCATTCATCGAGGTGCGACAGCTTGGGAATTCACGCTATGAAGTTACTCATGTTTTCAGTTAATGTATTTGTAATTTATTTAAATATATATTTTTTATAGAATAGGGTGACAAACGAGCACAGAATCCACCTGATGGTAAGTAGTAGGTGCTGTGACCCATACACTTTTACATGTATCTTCAATTAAGAATCAAAATGCAGATGCGTTTTCACCTCTGAGGACTGAAATGGAATGCCTCGTTTCCAGTAAAAAAAGGGTCTCCAGTTCTCGAACGTGATCCTACCCAGGTCACATTAGTGTTTCAACAATAAAATAGCTGCGGCATGTCTCTACCAAGTGGGTCACATTAAATAGCAACTAGTCCCGTGGGTGTCATAAGAGGTGACAGAGGAAAGCTGAAACGGAAGATAGGCAGTAACATTTTCCTGATAACTCAACATAATATAAAATTATGGTAAGCAATCCGTCTGTTGACTGGCAACTATGACATAATCCTATGAGGCCTATGATCTATCGGGAAGGCCTATGTTTAGCAATGGATTTCATAGGTTGTAATGAAAACAGCAAACGACCTTCGATTTGTCGACATTATATTCACTATGGCAAAATCCTAGAGAATATATGAAATGCTGCACAAGCACATACAATCGCTCATACATTATTAAACTTCCCAAAAATATAAACTTAATCAGTTTTTAATGCTATAATTTATTCAGGTTTGTTATTTTAAATACTTACAGTAATTCCAAGGCATTCTTGTAGCATGTCATGATAAATTTCCTTTTTCCCTGAATCAGAAACGTACCGAGCGGTTATATCGCAACTTCCGCGCGCCGACAGACAACACCGGCACACATCAGGCTGGCAAACCCAGCCATTTACATAATCCACATCCATTTTTATTGTTTTTGAAAAAAATAAAATAGTACCCTATAGTACCTATTTGTTTACATAATTTCAATGACTTGATTTTGACCACAGACTAACTATAGTTCACAGAGTACTTTTTTATATATAGGAACTATAGTTCATAAAAGATAGCTTGATCTCTGCGACAGCTGTCAGTAAAAATCACGCCTATGAAGTCCTGAATTTCATAGTAGTACAGACAGTACCTGTCAATATCATACTTTATGGGCATGCACCAATTAAGTCGGCATGCCCATAAAGTATATAAGCCCATTGACAGGTACTATCAGTACTACGAAATTCAGGACTTCATAGGCGCGATTTTACTGACAGATGTCGCAGAGATCAAGCTATCTTTTATGAACTATAGTGGATTTATTTTGACTGGATTTGACAGAACTATACATAGACCACAAACAAATAGGAGTAATAAGGTAACACAGGCTCGTCGTTTTCTTTAATAGTTCACACGCGCGGATACTTAATTCACAAAATCGCATCACTTTTACGAATCAAAATCCACTTCAAACCATTATTCAAGCGACAATCCATCTACGGCCAAGTTCCCGCCAAAACTCCATGTCCATGTATCTTAACGTAGTGTTAGGATTATGGAGTGTAGAAGGAGTGCGGACTGTGTACTAAAAAGTGTCCATAGAAAACCGTTAAATAAGGATGGCACCACTATAGCTACGGGCTAAATTTTAAAGAACGTGCCGAAAAATATTAGTAGGATCGTAGACAGAGAAACCTATAGACTAACGATCGGCGTGGCCTCGAGTGAGAAAGAACGATAACGAATTTTTAGGTTATAGAATAATCTTTATGACTTTTAAACACATTTAGATAAACATTTTAATTGTTCTAAGTACTGAACTGAACAAGATTCACCAATCTTAAGCTCACAAAATACTTTTTTTTTCTCACTTAAACCAACTTGTAAACTCCTTAAATCGCTACGCTGTCAAAGTTGTTTAGCAAACTGTAGAGTTTGCTAAACAAAAAAACCAGCACGGAGAAAGCAACAAACAATCACACCGCTCTATCTCATTTCTATGAAAGACGTATGCATAAATCTATCTTTTTCATGTGCGAATGCGAAAGAAGACGTCAATTTGTCTTTAGGTTTCTCTGTCTACGAGTGGAATAGACGACTTTTTTGAGGTTATATTATTTACTAAATAAAATAATTTTAGATAGAGTTGAGCTGAGCTAAGCTGTTTAGCAGCATACTTCAAACCGTCGACAACTGCTAAGTTCATTTCATCCCAGCTACTCCAGCGCTGTTGTGGAGAGTTTTTGAACTCTTATTTACTGCTTACAGATGGCCACTTTTTCAACTATTCTACTATGGGAGTTGCACAGATTACCTCCTAATAGATACCGCATCATGAAATATTTGTTCTGTTTCGAATTTACTAAATTTCGAGATGAGCGGGGCGTGTCAAATGCGCTGTGATTGGATAATTCAAGGTTGAACTTAGAATGCTCCGAACCATAGTGATGGGACAGGGTTGGGACGTTGATCGATACATTTGGGATTTATCGATTATTGATAAATAAATGAATTGATCAATTTTTATTTGAAATTTATTAAATAATAAAACAATGTATATAAATAAAAGAATATATATATATATATATATATACATAAATACATAAACACTCACGCCTGTCACCCAGAGGCGTAGGCAGAGACTACAGACTTCCATTTGGCACGATCCTGACACACCTCTCTCGCCTCCTTCACATCCATACACCTACGCATACATGCTCGTCGGTTAAGGGTACTTCTAACGTGGCCCCTTTTCAAAATATCGCCAATTTGGTCGATAAACTTTTTTCTAGGGCGTCCCTTCCCGACTCGGCCGTTCACATCTGCCATATAAATTTGCTTTGTCACTCTTTCCTCATTCATTCTTTCTACATGACCAAACCACCGAAGCATTCCTTTCTTAATCATAGTCACAACATCATCTTGCATACCACATTTATCTCTTATCATGCAATTTCTCACCCTGTCATTCAGATTCAACCCTAGCATACTCCTTAAAGACCGCATTTCTACAGCATTTATTCTACTTTCGTGCTTCTTCTGCCACACCCAGCTTTCACTGCCATACATTAAAGTAGGGACTAACACAGCATTATGAGTTACCATACGTGCCTTTTTTGACACATTCTGGTTCTTCATAATAGAGTGTAGTGCCTCATTCACTCTATTCCCTGCATTTACTCGTCGTTCTATATCCCTATCATATCTACCATCCCTGCTAAATACACATTCCAAATACACAAACTCATCCACTTGCTCAATTAACTCTCCTACTATTCTTATTTCACATACTGTTTTGCTTTCTTCTCTTTCAAAAACCATCACTTTCGTCTTACTTGCGTTCATTTTCATTCCCCTTTATTATATAAAAAAAACATATATTTGTACATGTAATCTAATGATTTCTTAAATTTACGTCAACACTACACATTGAATAAAACTACATAATTATATGGATTTTATGGCGTTTAATTAATTATAGTCACGGCAGGGGAGGGAACTGAGATGTTTGACATCTCACTATCATAGTTAGCCCGGCTATCTTCAGTTTTTGAATATTGATTTTTGGTGCCGATCTACATAAAATGATCTTACAGTATCTTGAAGTCTTGCAGTGGTATGCTTGGTTTTGGATAGATTTTGTTAATTATAGGATCCCAAGCAGATGGCAGCACCTATCCACCGACTGTGGCGGGCTTCACTCGAACGCTGTGACGTAGGCTTGGGACCCAAAGCTTGTTCTCTTGCAATACTTGCTTGACATGCTGAAGCTCGGCGTCCAGATGTATTCTGTAACAGGTCCCTTGTGCTCTCTGAAACAAATATTTACCCACAGTAGCAAACTATGAAGAAAGATGGTGAGATTCACCTTTTAAATATCGGTTGGTATAGACCTTTTTCCTATACATAGTATGTCCAATAGTGTTATCAGGATTTCGTATGACTAAAACATCTAGAAAAGCTAAAGTATTATTTGCTTCTAACTCCATCGTGATTTGTATTTTGAAGCTTATGGAGTTAAGGTGGTCTAAAATGCAGTTGCTTTGTCAGACGGTAAAATTTTGAAAGTGTCGTCTAGGTACCGCTTGTAGAATCTTGGATTTATAGGAGCAGTAAAAAGGGTTTCTCTTAAAGTCCTCCATGATATATGTCGGCGACTATAAGAAATACGGGTGAGCCCATCGCCACACCATCAAGTTTCTTGTAGAAATCTTCCTTCTACATAGATAGCCAGATGTGAAGCAGTGTTTGATTAAAACTGCATATTCTGTAGGCATGTTATTATCTTGTAGTTTCCTAGTTACAATTGAGAAGCAGTCTTCAATAGGTAGGCTTGTGAATTGTGACTGAACACGTAACTGACCATAGTTTCATTGTCAGCGAGATGTAGGTCCTTTATCTCCTTCCTCTTGAATCCTTTGTGTGTGTTCCGGTATGTACTTTCAGTGGTGACAGTATTTTTGCCTAGTATTGCACCTAAAAGTAGTATTATTAATTAAGAAACCATACGGTAAGTGTTTCAAATTAAGATGTACTTAATAACAATAATAATAGGATATTACTGAAGTTCATGTAACACTAGAATAACATTAATCACATTATAACTTTCACTTGTTTTATGGTTTATAAATCCGTTAAAACTAGTATAATTTCGACGTGTAACATTCGCCAAAATATTAGAATATTACGTTTCAATCCACCACTTAATGCTATTACTTATTGTGTAATCACCATTGGTATTATACTTTAAAAAAAATGTAAAAGTCCATACTAAAACTGGCAAGTATAGAGATGGTATAGCGGAATCCAACAGCTTTCTACGGTTTTTCATAATATGAAGATTGTCTTCCGTGAAGTGTTTTGAGCATAGAACACTATTTTTGGTGGGAAACCATTGGTCCCCTCGACATGTAGCGTCGATCCACATCTTTTCCTTTCGGGGCATATAGGAAACCTATAACATATAGGTACCACAATTATACGCCACGATTTGTATAAAATAATGACTACAAAAAAAGTAAACGATGACCAAACAAATATCGACTTATAAATCACAACACTATCGATACACGTGCTGTCGTTAGACAAAGACAACTATTTTAATTTACGTAAAGAGTGAAAGGGACATTTTAAAAAGACATCAACGGGTGCTCAAATGATATCACTTTGCAACATTATATATCCAGTGTAAGTTGAACTCCGATACATTTGAAATAGGTTAACGTGATAAGAATAAAATTTACTTACCGATGAAATATTATGCCATCTTTTTGATAACTGGATGTCTTAGCTGACTTGCCACGTCATTTCACTGCATAGGAAGCCATTTGTAATGTATTTTGGATACAAAATTATTTTTAAATTTTCAAAAACTCGGACGTGCCTACGGGTCACAAACTTGGTCGACAATGGTATCGTGATTATTAGCGTCACTTCATATGCTAGCTACAGCAAGTATGTGTTGCGGGCGTTTGTGGCCCTGTATGCGGAATCTAGGAGGTAATCTGTGGGGAGTTGGTACTCCTTACTTCTACACTCCGTAGTTAGGATGATTAAAGTTCATTTTTATGCGAATAATCGGAAAAATATTTAAATAATCGGAAAAAATATTCAAATAGTCGAATCATTATTTTTTTAATGTATTGTTTGTTTAATGAAATTTTTATTTTTGAAATTCCTTAAATTACACTAATCATGAATAAAACAAGTTTCGTTTTTTTACTTTGTTATCGTAAATTTGTGTAGGCAAAAAAACTCATATACAAGGTCGCGCTGAAAAAACCACTACGTAATTTCAATCTCCCGCCATTTCGGAAGCTAACTGTGCTGTAATTTTCTGTTAGTCTTCTTATTTTGTGTTTGTCTTCTTATTTTGTAACTGGGCTTTAACTTTTTGGACTGTTTCTTCTATATCCGTTGAAGCATGTGCCCA